CATTCCAAGAAGTCCCGAAGGCGGGCCAGAAGGGCTGCCCAAAAAGCAGCCCAAGCACAGCCTTCGCCACCGGTGGCAACGGCCTCTGCAAAGAGGCCGCGGAAGCTGCAGCCGCCCAAAACCGCGGCTGTAGTGGTGACCGTGTCCCCGGAGGCAACTGACGGCGGGCTGTCCTACGCGGCCGTTTTTAAAAGGCCCGGGACAGCCTCGCCAACAATTTTGGGACGGTGGGGGTCAAGATGCGCCCCGCCCAAATGGGAGCTCGAGTTCTCGAGTTCCCAGGGGCTGAAGCTTTTGCTGAGAGGCTGCGGGGTTTATTCGCGACCACAGATGGTGTCAAGATCGCCAGGCCTACCAAGTGCGAGGAGCTGCGCATCTCGGGCCTGGACGACTATGTGACGGCCGAAGATGTCCGCGCTGTAATCCGGGAGAAGACGGGGTGCAGCGCGGACAACGTCAGGGTCGGCACCATCCGCCCCGGTCCAGGAGGGCTTGGCGCCGTGTGGGTCAGCTGTCCCGTAGCGTCGGCCAAAGTATTGGCCGACGCCGGCAGGCTGCTCGTCGGTTTCGTGAGCGCCAGGATCACAGTCCTGGCGGCGAGACCGATGAGGTGTTACAAATGCCTAGCATCGGGGCACACGCGCGTCAAGTGCCAAAGCTGCTTCGACTGCAGCGGACTATGTTTCCGCTGTGGTCGACCGGGCCATGTGGCGGTGGAATGCTCTGCCGCCCCTCACTGCCCGGTGTGTGCGGCGGGTAACAAGCCCGCCAATCACCAGATGGGGCAGGGGAGCTGCAAGCCTCCCCGCAACTCTCAGCAAGCATCGGGGGCTAGCCAGTCGACCCAGGCTGCCTCCGATGTAGTTCTTGCGTCGCCCATGGAGGAGGTTGTAGAGACGATCCAGTAATGGATCGGGTCTTCGAGGTTTTCCTCAACAACCTGGAGACCTCGATGCGGCGACTAGCGTCTGGGCACGTCCTTGTTCTGGGGGACTTCAACGCAACATCCACTGCGTGGTGATCCCCCGGGACGGACGCAAGGGGCGAGGCCGTAGAGGAGTGGGCGGCCTCGGTGGGCCTCTGTCTTCTCAACAGAGGCTCCACCAACACGTGCGTGCGACAGCAGGGGGGGTCGATAGTGGACCTTTCGTTCGCTACCCCTGCCCTCGCCGCACGAGTAAGGAACTGGCGTGTCCTGGAAGAGGTTGAGACGCTCTCGGATCATCTTTATACCCGATTTGAGCTCTCCCGGACCCAGGACTCCAGTAGGGGTCACGTGGCGCGGCGTTTATCCCGCTTTCCGCGGTGGGCTGTTGCCAGACTGAACCGGGACCTACTAGAGGAGGCAGCCATAATTCACTCGTGGCTGTCTCCTCAGGCCCCGACCGAGGAGGTCGACGTGGGGGCTGGTCGCTTTCGCGATGCGATTACGCATGTCTGCGATGCGGCCATGCCCCGCATTCGAGGTCGTCGGCCTCCAAGGAAGGAGGTCTACTGGTGGTCCTAGGAGCTGGCGGACCTCCGTGCGGACTGTACACGTGCCCGGAGGTCCTACACGCGCAGTCGGCGGCGTCACCGTGGAGACGGTGTGGAGGACCGGCTTCATGAGGAGTACCGAGAGGCGCGGAAAACTCTGAAGCTGGCCATTAGCCGCGCCGAAGAGATAAAGAGAAAGGAGATGCTGGAGGGTCTCGATCGTGACCCCTGGGGTCGCCCTTATCGCGCGGTGCGACAAAAGCTCCGCGCGTCGGGCCCCCCCCCTTACGGAGACTCTCCAGCCCAGCTTCCTGCGAGAAGTGGTTGAGGGCCTTTTCCCGCTCCGCGCGACGGGGTGGGTTTCCCCTCCACCCGCATTAGTTTGGCCAGCCGCGAGGGGGCGGCGTCCGCGTGTGCCGGACGTCGCCTAAAGAGAGGTACAATTTTGAGACGGGGCCCGCAACTGGAGCGGGCCGGCGCTAGGAGGGGTCCGGATATCTTAATAACAGCTGTTCCCGGATCCCTCCTGTTACAGGCGCAGAGTGGCACACCGTGTGGTTTTAGTCGGTCCGAGTCCGACACACCACCCCGCTGCAAACCCCGGTGGGGTGACGGTCCGAGGGGATTTCTAAACGTTAAAAAAAAAAAAAAAGGGTTTGTGTTAACTTTTCTTTCTCTTTGCAGTGTTGTTGTCCTGTGTAGTTTACTTCCTTAGTTGGCTCTTATGACACTCATGGGATAAATAGGGACGGTGACACTCCGTATTCTCATTCCGTCACCATACGGAATGAGAATACGAACGAACTATAAATACTATTAATTCCTCTATAAATAAATATACCGTCTTATTCATGTTTGAATAGCTTAAATGATTTTATTTCAAACTTTTGATTACTCAACTACAAACGACGTGGGTCTTATAAGTGCGTCAGTGGTTCCCCAAACTTCAGTCGCAATTATGATCATAATATTATTTCATAGCTGAGTGCTCCGAGGGATCATTCGGACTAATACTGACCCGAGCTTTCCGCCATCGTTTAACACGACAAATATTTCATCCCCGTAATTTTGATACTTGGCAATCCAACACTGTGCATTTAACTCTATTGTCTTGCACTACGATCCTGTGGAAAAATCCTGTGGATCCTTAATACATCATCAAAGCTCTTTTCTAAGGAGAGGCCTATGTCGAGCAGTGTAGTATTATAGGCTGTTGATGTGATAAGTATAGTACAGAAATAAATTAAAGTTAAAATATCGAAATTCATCATAACTATTGGAGTCATGACTCTATTGAAAATAGATGTATCGTCAGATTGGTTTCTGTTGCCGCGTTTCAGCAACACATCACATAACATAAACTTACATTACATTACATCACATTTCATCACTTCACAGTACATTACATCACATCATATAACATTACATTAACAAGAAAAGTCATAATATTGTGTCTATTTAATCAAAGTTACTTTTTTATTTGTTACACCTTTATTATCGCTTTCGTAAAATTTGTGGGAGTGATTTCTTAAAAGGGGACGAAAGTGTGTAACAGGAAACCGGAGAACCGCTATTTGATTTGACCAATGAGCGCGGCCCGGCCGGTTTTAGTCTTGGACGTCAGATTGTAGGTGATATGTCAGATAGTATAAATTAGGTCTTTACCTATGAAATTGCCGTTTTGTATGCAATAAGTGAAAGTACTTATTTTTTCAAACTTTTTTATTTCCGTTATTCGAAGTAATCACCCATGCAATCGATGCATCTTTGCCAACGCATTGGCAGTTTATTGATGCTTGTAAAAATCAGCTGGACGGGAGGCAACAAACTCTTCAAAGGCATTTTGCACTGCCTCTAATTGGAATTGAATTTTTTACTCACTAAAAAGTTGTCTAAATTTTGGAAAAAGTAATAGTCGGTAGGTGCAAGGTCAAAAAATAAGTACTTTCACTTATTGCATACAAAACGGCAATTTCATAGGTAAAGACCTATTATCATATGCGAGTGCTGGAGGGCTGGCTCGTTTTTCAGTAATTTCACATTAAAAGTAATTTAAAATATCTTTTAAACAAAGAATTCTTTTAAAGCAAATTTCTTTTACTTTTGTTTAATTATATATTGTGTTAAAATATTTTAAAGTACTTAAATAACTTTGATAAATACGGCGAATGTTTTTGTGAACGGTACCACACTATCACTTACGTAAACAGTTCAGTAAAGTTATCAATGGGTACATTGGGGATAAATATTCCCATAAGCCATAATGGCTGTGTAGTTTGGTGAGGATTCGTGTTAAATTGTGCTCTATACATGCATATTAAAAACTATTGATGGACGTACCAACTACGTTACTTTATGTGCCTTTTATTTATTTTTTATTTTTTTATATTTTTTTTCCGTGCGGAAATCCCCTCGGATACCACCTGTCGGTGGCATGTCGGACTCGAACCGACTAAAACCGCACGCCTTCGCCGGGTACTAATAGCCGGGGAACCAGGTATACCCTAGAAAGGAAGTCCCTGGTGCCCCGACATACCTCGGGTCATCTACAGACGAGTAGACGACCCCCGCCCCGTGTGGGAACCCCATGTTCCCTGTGCTCCCTGGAAGCGAGCGCGCTCCGCAACGCGCTCGCCGCCACCCCGGCCTGCTTCTGCTAGGGTGACAGATGGCCTCACCTGTCACCCCCAGGCCTGCGCTTATGGAGGACGGAGGTCGTTCTGCGACCTCCGGCGCCTGAGTCGCCTGCGCTGCCTGGCCCGTGCCCGGGCCTGGCGTGCCGGGAGAGTTCTAAACCTCTCCCGGTCCCGCTCCGCCGTCTCCTTCGCGAGCATAACTTGCTCGCAGAAGGAGACGGCAGTACTTTATGTGCCTAAAGTTAAGAACTTCAAGAAGTTAATTTTTCCCTAAACACTCACGAGTCTTTATTTTACTTCCTCTTTTGCCTAGACAAACATTTTCTGAATTTTGGAACGAATTTTGGAGCGGATAGTACTCACGCACTTGCTTAGATCATTTAAACAAATCAACGGATTTAATGCGGTTTTCACCAATAGAAAGAGTGATTCCAGAGGAACGTTAATATATTATGTATAATATACATGCATATTATAGTAGAGAAAATCCGAGAATTTCAAAGTTTTGGTAAAAAAAAATCATGTTTTTGTGCGCTTACATTGCAAGACCAAAATAATGTTATAATGCGTTGTATAATGTTTTATTTATTTTTAAGTCTACAACAACAAACACATTACAGATTATACTTTACAATGTTAGTATAATGAAACTTATCCTTAAACTTAACTTAGGAGCGCGGGCGTAACCTAGAATGACACAAGTGTCGCGCGCGCCGTATTTCGGGTAGACTGGCGCCACTACCGGGCATGCGCGCGGGCGAGCCACGGAGGGTCGCGGGGTGTCGCACGACGGGGTAAGAGGGGTACCAGGGACGCACGTTATACTCTCCCCCTTTTGACCAAGAGGCGAAATCTCATTGGTCAAACTCCTAACCATAAATAGCGAACCTACGGTTGGACTTTCCGCGGGCGACCTCTGCGGCGCTTCGGAACAACAGGCTCCGGACACTCACCACCTCTGTCATGGTATCTACGCAGATCCGACATGTGATAATTGCCAACAACTTCACCAGTCTTCTGTGAGGTAAGAGCAAATGTAGTGGGACTCACCTTCCTGGAGACTACATACGGACCATCCTGTTTCGGAATAAACTTGGAAGTAACACCTTTGGAAGCATTACTTAAGACATGTGTCTTCATAAGCACAAGATCGCCTTCTTTGAAAGGATCCGAAGCCCGACGGCCGGAATCCGCTTGATGCTTGCGAAGATCCTGCTGATGCTCGATATTCTCCTTAGCTTGAGAGAGAGAGTCAACCAGCTTCAGAAGGTACGGTGTGATCTGAGGGACCAAATTCTCAGATTCGATGACTGCGCGTAAATCAGCCTGGACAGAGAGGGGAGAGCGAAGCTCGCGACCGAATGTCAAGTAAGCTGGAGTGGAACCGGTGGAAACTGTAAAGGAACTATTCAGAGCAAAACGGACGAACGGTAAAACCTCAGGCCATTGCTTGTGATTGCCCTCTACAAGAATAGCTAGGTGAGCCTTTAAGTCCCGATTTCTTCTCTCTACCGGGTTGGCCTCGGGATGATATAGTGGTATCAGGTTCTGTTTCACACCTAAGACAAACAACGCCTTCTGCACTACATCAGCTACGAATTGAACTCCGTTGTCGGAGATCATACGCCTAGGGAGTCCATACCTCATAAAAACCTCACCCACTAAGGTTTTCGCACAGATCTCGGCTGTGGCTTCGGTAAGGGCAAAAAGTTCAACCCACTTACTAGCGGTGTCCTCTACTATTAAAACCCACCTTTCGCCTTGAGGCCCTTTAGGTAACGGTCCAAAGAGGTCAACAGCGATGATCTCAAATCTCTGTGCGGGTACAGGAGTCTGGAGTAAACCAAGAGGTTTTAGGTTTGAGGCCTTGTACCGCTGACACTCCGTACAGGTCCTCAGGTAGTTGGTAATATACTTCCTCATGCCTGGGAAGTAGAACTGCTGGGATATGCGATGAAGAGTCTTCTGGATACCCCCATGAGCGGCGGTCAGCGAGTCGTGACACTCGTACATGACTTTGCTTCTCAGGCTCTCCGGAACGACCAGCTGAGGCTCTTCAGCATCCGAATCCTCTACATACCTGTACAATACTCCCTGATTGATAAGGTACCCTCTATCCGACCAACGGTGTACGGACAATTCGTCAGTACTCTCTAAGTCAGTGAGAATCTTAGCTACTTCTGGATCTGACAATTGAGCTTCGCGGGTAGATGTGGCGTCCCATCGTGGAATGTCCACGGTGACCGGGCAGACACCACATCCCGATGTACTATCTATAACTGGGCGGCTGAGTGTGTCGGCTACCACATTAGCCTTCCCAGGAGTGTACTCGATTCGCAAATCAAAAGACTGTAACTTCAATGCCCAACGAACTAGCCTACCGGTAGGCGATTTGAGCGTGAACAGCCACTTCAGGGGTTGATGATCGCTCCTAACACATACCTGATGACCATCGACGTAGCCACGGAATCTCTCCACTGCCCAGACAACGGCCAACGCCTCCCTCTCAGTGGTGGAGTAGTTCCGTTCTGCCGGCGTAAGGAGACGACTAGCGTACTCGATAGGATGTTCATCTTGTGGTGACTCCCCCTGGAGTAAGGCTGCACCTAAAGCGAAATCGCTGGAGTCCGTTCTAAGGATGAAAGGTCTTGAGTAGTCCGGCTGGGTCAGAATGGGGGGTGAAGCTAAAAGAGTCTTGAGCTGTATAAAAGCGCTAGTTTGGTCCTTACCCCATTTCCAGGTCTGTGACTTTTTTGTTAGACGCGTAAGAGGTTCAGCCACCTTGGCAAACTCTGGGATAAACTTGCGGAACCAAGAGCAAGTTTGGAGGAAGGTGCGAAGTTGCTGGAGAGTTGTCGGTTCCTTCATCTCTAAAATAGCACTTACCTTCTCTTCGTCTGGAGATATACCATCATGAGAGATCACGTGGCCAAGGTACTTGAGCCGGTCTCTGGCAAACACACACTTCTCTCGGTTTGCTCGGAGCTTGTACATACGGAGACGCTCGAATACCGCACGCAAATCTGCTATATGGGACTCCAGGTCCTCCGAAATGACCAGCAGGTCATCCAAATAACCCAAAATAGTCCTACCACTAAGTGTAGACCCTGATCTGAAACGGTCTATGAGCCTCTGAAATGTCGCTGGCGAATTCTTAAGGCCAAACGGCATACGTTTGAAGCGATAGGTATCAAAGGGCGTGACGAACGCAGTTTTATCGCGATCGGCGGTGCTTACCTGCCAATAACCACTGCGAAGATCTAGAGAACTCATTACACAACCCTTCTTGGTCGACTGTAAGAGCTCGTCAATACGCGGCATGGGGTACGCATCCGTCTTAGTAACAGCGTTCAACTTTCGGTAGTCGACACAAAACCTATAGGTACCATTACGTTTCGGTACTAAGACGCACGGCGCCGCCCAGGCGGATTCACACTCCTCGATCACGTCCTCAGCTAACATCTTGTCTAACTCGGCGCGCATGATCTCCTTCTTGGCAGGTGTAAGGCGATACGGGGGTAAAGCAATAGGCGGATGGTCGCCGGTATCTATGTGGTGTTCCGCAAATGGTGTAGGTTCTCCTACTATATCAAAAGTATCGGAGTACTCACCTAAAAGATTCTCCAACGTCGACCTTTCCGACCCCGATAACATAGCGCCCTCATCCGTCCTCAGTACATTCACTGAAGCGCACTGAATGGGTGCACGTTCCGATTCCCATGACAAGGTGTAAAGTGTCCGAGGCTGATCCATGGTACGCCAAGTCCAATTAGAAAAATCGATAACCATCTTAGCTTTAGTAATAAAATCAATGCCCAACAGAGTATCGTTGTTAACGGCCTCAGGTAAAATAATGAATTCAATAGGTATCGATAATGAAGCAAGTTGAACATTAACTATCGTCAGTAGCACATCACTATTCCTAACAATACCGTCCGCAAGCTTCAACGACATCGTTTCGGCGCGAAAGTCTGAACCAATACGTTTCAGTAAGGAATAAAGTGAATAACTCGCAATACTACGACGCGCGGCGGTATCTAACAACGCGGTACCCTGATATCCCCCCACACACACGCGCACGATAGGCCGACCCTGCTTATTATTATCGTTAACAAAATCCGAACATGACTTCTTACTATCTATATACACTGAAGAAAACACATTTTCTATCTTAACATTTGTGTTACTATCTCCGGCACTACCTTGTTTACCTTTAGGACAATTAACTCTAACGTGGCCTTTTTCACCACAATTATAGCAAACAGTGCCAGAGTTAGTAGAAAGAGAACGTTTACTTAGCTTATCACATGAGTCCCGTACGTGTCCTCGTCCCTTACAATACACGCAGAACAACTTCTTATCACTGTTATCACTTTTGCTCACACACTGATCACTACGCGGCGAGTTCGCTCGCGGGGCGCGGGCAGTGCGAACCGGCGGCGACGGCGACGGCGACGGCGTCGAACTCGATCCCGGAGCGACGTGTTGCTGCGCGCTCTCGCTGAGCGCGAGGGGAGCCTTCGTAGGTAAACACGACGACGACGGTGACGTGGAGTTCTCCGACAACGATTCTTCTATGCTGCGAGATTTTTCTATCAGTGATTCAATATCACTCACAGCGTCTCTTGGTAACCGCTTCCTGATTCTCTTGTGAAGTAGACCATAAATCATATCCAGTCTCGCTTCCTCTGGTAACTGATAAGGCAGTTTCGCCAACAGAGATCGTACTCTTACGATAAAAACGTCGGCGCGTTCCAACCCTTGCTCAGCAGCGAAAACATCTCTGTACAGTTTGTACGGTGGCCGTGGTATGCCATACATCGAACGCAGGCGCTTGACTGCCTCTGACCATGACGTGACTTCATGACGGATGCCACGCCACCAAACTGCTGCTTGCCCATTTAATAACATGGGGAGTCCACGAAGTGCCATCTCATCGCTGACCGAAGCGCAATCCATAAACATCTCGACAGCGTCTATGAATGCTTCGACCGCCTCCGGATACTCCGACGAACCATCGAAGCGCGAGGTGCATTTGACGAGATTCCCAGAATAAGATGACGGTGTAGCGACGGAGTTCACACTGGGCGGCGTCCCTGAGTGCGATGTCAGTAGTGACTCGACGAGCTTCTGGTTCGCCTCGGCCTGCGCCGAAGAGAAGGCGGCCAGGAGCGACGCTAACTGAGTTTGAGACATAAGCACCGGAGCCACAGGTGTCTCTGTCACCGACACAGGTTCATCTTCCGAACTGGAGTCGTTATTACGAACTTTACGCGGCTGCATTGTGTTCACTAAAAATACCTATTCGAACAGTCTAGAACATCGGCCCATACGTTGGGAGCCAGTATAATGCGTTGTATAATGTTTTATTTATTTTTAAGTCTACAACAACAAACACATTACAGATTATACTTTACAATGTTAGTATAATGAAACTTATCCTTAAACTTAACTTAGGAGCGCGGGCGTAACCTAGAATGACACAAGTGTCGCGCGCGCCGTATTTCGGGTAGACTGGCGCCACTACCGGGCATGCGCGCGGGCGAGCCACGGAGGGTCGCGGGGTGTCGCACGACGGGGTAAGAGGGGTACCAGGGACGCACGTTATAATGTGCTATAGAAAAGTATATCTTAAAAAAATCTACAAAAATGTCCAATGTGGTATATGTCTATCTCCTAAGGATAAACTACAGTTACTTTTTATCTTGTTGTTGCCATTTTATTATACCATCGCGTAATTTTTTAACCGACTTCAAAAAGAAGGAGCGCCTGTTCCACTGTATGTATTTTTTTATGTATGTTCACCGATAACTCCGTCAGTTGTGAACCCATTTCTAAAATTATTTTTCTCTTAGAAAGAGCATAGTCCTCTGAGGTAGTATCATTGTCACGAAGTCAGGAACTGATGAGGGGATCCCAGGGAAATCGAGGGCAACCCTCAACTTTTTTATGTGGTTCATATATTTTCTAAAGCTATTCTAGTATTTGCATAAGGTAGTCATTATCTCGTGTTAATGAGGTGGTGATGGAAGGTACAACTCCTAGACGATTAGGAGTTGGAGGATAGTTCTTTAAATACCATATGTATGTTTGGACTTTTAGTTGAATTCTTTCAAGTCATTCAGGTGAGCTGATGACGGAAGGTAAAACTTCTTAACAGTTAAAAGTTAGATGATACTTTAAGATGCCGACACAGTAACCTGTAATGTACAGGAAAGAAAAGACATGCAAAGCTGAGGATTAGATTAGCAACCTACACTACAAATCTAGCTTGTCTAAGTGTTCTAATTGAAATATCTATAAAAGCCTTAGTCGTAGCTTTCTTTGGCTTTGTGTGGCTCTAAGTCTCAAAGGGCAACACCATCAGTATGCCATCTTTACTTAGCGCAACATAAACATTGCCTTTAGGAGTTTTAGGGTAGTGACCTAGTGTTTATGCACCGTAACCGCCAAACTGAGGATTAGCAGTAGCATTCTATGTTAAATATCTCCGTAGCTTTTAGTTGCCTAAAAGCTATGGGGATGTTGAACGGGGTTAGTTGTGTGTGTTTTGTGGCAATAGTGTCGTCATCATATATACATATATAATTTATAAAATTATATTTAAAAAAAAAGGTTGTTTTGTGTACGCTTAATAATATATTTTTATATCCCTCAAACTTAAGTAATTTCCGTTTTCGATAATTGGGGCAACCCTATTGCCATCCAGCGGGCTCTTTGGGAATATAAATTATTCTGCTTAAAAATAAAAAAATATATAATATAGATTTTAATAAACACGTATTTTTTTTATTACCATGTATTTATACAAGTGTTCCTAGGGTAGGCAATAATAATAATAATATTTATATCTGACACACAACACCATCTAGTTTCAAACTAAGCCGAACGCCGAAACAATATGTGCAGCAATAAAATACGAGTATACAGCTTGTTAAATTAAAACAAATCTAAAAAGTTCATCTTGTTACAGGTGAATTGTTTTTGAAACTACGCCTCTTCACCAAACTATATGGCGACCGATACGTGGTGAAGATATTCAGCAGAAGAATCCTGCATATACACGGTGTTAAAGATGTTGAGGTATGTTTTTATTTTCTCATCCGTGTGGTGCCAGTTTAAGAGTACTGAGGATAGAATAGGATGAGTAGGTTTGGAGGGCAATGGTATAGATAGTTCAACTTTCATTCGTGTGGCAGTGACGCGGCAGTCGGACGACGACTGCCTGAAAGTTGTATATTTACAAGCCCACGCACACATAGGGCCGCGCGCACAACTGAGTTGAACTATCTATAGTAAGGTGGAATGGAATATTAATCTCATGACGTATGTATACGGCGTAGCAATTGAAAACCAGCGTTAGGCTTCCATCTGACATAAGGCTGAATTGGGTCCGTTTTTGGCATCGTTAGTAATCGAAGCTGTAAAATTGTTAAAACTATTGGATTATTTCATACGAATGGATTGGAGAGGCTCGTGGTTAAGTGGTGTCCGAGCAGGTTAACGCATTGCAAACTTAAGCAATCCCAGCCAGGTTAGTTTATGGATGGGCGACCATTGTGGTGTATAGAGCACATCAATATGTAAGCATGTATTCATTTAGATTATAATAATAAGATATATAAACATGTAGTAAGTTAGAATGTTAACTTGTGACAATAAACACGTATTCTCAAGACTCATCTTTTACTCATAGTCCGAACCGTACACCATTATTAGCCACCGAGACCCCTCCGTGCATCGGAGAGCACGTTTTACCATCGGTCCAGGTTGCCATACGAACCTTTTTCGCAATGGTTACGGGTATGTTGAGTAAAAAAAAGTATGACAACAGTCATTTTACAGAACTTCGATATCGATTAGTACTTGGTAACAATTCGAAGTTCAGCCTTATCGTAGTAAACTTAATGCCGACCCTAACCTAGTTTGGGCAAAAAGCTCGGAGGTAGGCTAGAGCTAGGTAGCTCTAGTAAGTCAGAGTCGCACACCTGTGTCTTAAACTGATTGTACTCTAAACTAAATGTATATTTCGCCCGACCCGGCTTCACACGAGTGCAGTGTACGAATATAAAGTATATGTATATTTATGTATGTATGTATATGTGTGTATATGTGTGTATAATTGTATATGTTAGTTAATACTATATAACTACTGTAACATCAGTGCATCTTCTTCATCACATTTCTACACATCCCAAAGGTGGACTGGCAGAGAATGCCCAGGGCATTAAGTCCGACGATGTACACAAGTGCATAAAGTTTTATATAAATATATATGTCGGGTGTTGCATATTTTTAAGTTTTTATTTTGTATCGTCTACTTTACTTACATATGTTTCTGAACGTAAACTAGCTGTCATCAAGGAGTTGTCAAAAAGAAGGTGAGAAGAAAAAATATCGTTAAAAGTGCTCCTAAGATATAATAAAAAATATAAGTTTAAATCCGCTTCGAATCATTTGTAACCATCCCCACATCTTTTGGGGGCTCGTCCGGGATATAACAAGTATTGGTTTGAAGAGGATTGAAGAAAGCCAGTACAATGTAAAACGTTACATTTATAGTGAACAAGATGAACTTTTAAAAAAGTATAGCCAACTTCAATGCGCGATGAATTGGGAAATGTCAGCAATAGCTCGAGTGGTTCAGAATTTAAATATATTGACTGCACGGATGGCGTTGTGGTTTAAGCGGTCGCCACGCCGCTTCCTATTGCGCCGAGTGTTGTGGGTTCAAACCCCACATAGGACGACAAATTGTGTGATCCACAAATTGTTGTTCTGAGTCTGGGTGTTCTTTGTGTCTGTTTCATATATGTTTGTAAAGTCCCCCGCGACACAGGATATATTCCTAAAGCGGGAGCTGTCTTTAAAAAAATTTTTTATAAAACATATCCTATGTGCCTTTTATATACATTACTAGTTATTATCCGCATCTTCATTCCCGTGATTATTTCTTATTTTGTGTTTATAACTTTGAAAATGACAACCATCCATACAACCGTCCATGCCTTCATTTACCCCCTTAGGGATGAAATTGCCAAAAATATTTTCTTAGTGGGTGCTTACAATATCAAAAGCATCAACTGCCTTCAGGTTTGTACTAGCTGCCTAGCTGCTTTGAACTTCAAGTTTGTATCTCTAGTGGCTCAGGCTCTGCGTTGATGAATCAGGCAGTCAGGGCTAGCAGGTTTTTATGTCTTGATTTTCAATTTATATTAGTTTATTAGCGACCCGCCCCTGCTTCGCACGGGTGTAGTGTATGACATCACATTACAAATCTTTGGTTTTCTCTACTATAATATGCATGTACAAATTCCCAACCCTAGTTCTGAAAAAATTGTAAAAACTTTTTTTGTTACTTTTAATAAGGTGTACTTACTGTGCGATGATTAGTCTGCGAGTCAGTCTGCTAGTTTCTTTAATTACTGTAAATAGTTATTTATATTGAAGTATTTATTTGAATAGATAATGAAAGAACAGAAGACAACATTTATCTTAAAATGAATTCATACTTTATAAAGCTACGCATTTCCCCAGACTTATTAGATATAATTAAATAGTATTCCACAATATCACAGACAAGATAAATTTTCCATTCGTTGATTAAATTGTTGATAGCGAGAATGGTCTTTAAAACGTGGGAGTTTTCCATTTTTTATAAGTAAGTAAGTAGCGACCAAATGAAAAATTAAGGAAAACTTTTACTAAGCAGAGAAGTTTTTTTCTTTTTTTTATGGTACAAGGAGGCAAACGAGCAGACGGGTCACCTGATGGTAAGTAACTACCGCCGCCCATGGGTACCTGCAACTCAAGAGTTAGAGGTTTGTTTTCGCCCTTCCTTTTTCAAACTAAGTTAGTTTGAAGTTCGACGCTGTCTCAGCGCTGTACGCAAGCCCTTAGAGAATAGCACTGCTGGTGTCGTGTCTGTGCTCTGTGTATCGTTTCTCTTATACCTACCTATAAATATTGAGTGTGTTTAATTAACTACGTATGCTTTTTACGTAAGTGCTGTCAAAATATTAGTCTGCAAAATGTGGGCGTTTATATGCTTCTGCCCTTATTCTGGGATTAAGACTTGAGTGTTCATGCTGTACATATATATATATAGCACTAGCGTTGCCCGTGACCCCGCCCGGGTGTATGTCGGTTATAGAGGTAAAAAGTGGCCTATGTCACTCGCTGATAATATAGATTTCCATAGGTGAAATAATTTTTAAAATCAGTTTAGTGGTCTAGTCGTGAAAACGTAACAAACAAAAAAATATACAAACAAACAAACCCACTTTTACATTTTTATTATAACTATGGATTCCATAAGTGATCGGACGCATCATGAAGTGGTCAATTCTAAGATCTCGGTCCGTAAAATTTTTACTTAAATGTTCACTAAATTCTGGTAAAGTTTATAAACAACATTTTTTTTTTGGTTTCATGAACTTCTGATCTCCTTTGTTCACAGATTGTCCTATCACATTCCAAAAACATAACGAAGAGCAAGCCGTACACGTTCCTGGAAGCCTGGCTCGGAACTGGTCTACTTTTAAGCACTGGTTTGTAAAAAAACGACTGCACGGATGGCGTAGTGGTTTAAGCGGTCACCTCGCCGCTTCCTACTACGCCGAGTGTTGTGGGTTCAAACCCCACATGGGACCACACTTTGTGCGCTCCACAAATTGTTGTTCTGAGTCTGGGTGTTCTTTGTGTCCGTTTCATGTATGTTTGCAAAGTCCCCCCCGACACAGGAATGGAATACTAATGCGGGAGTTGTCTTTTTAAAGGAAAAAAAACAGAATTGTGAAGGTTTCTACTGGTAGAAACCAAGCGAATAACGTCCCCGAAAGATCAGGGCCATGTGTGTGTGTTCATGTGCAGGTATCCATGGGAACTTACCGTCAGTTTATTTGTCTGCTTGACTATAAAATCTATATACACAAATGTAACAGATTATGATGTCCTTCCCTCCCATTTACGGGTCTCAGGACAAAGGGGATATAAATTTCTATCAAGAGGCCTTCCCTCGGTGAGATGAGCCTTAAAAGGCCTTAAAAATAAGTCACCGTGAAATATGTGGTAATAAAACAAGAAGAAATAGACTTTAATACCTTTCCTTTTAAGTCCTCTTACAGTTGCTAGGCTATACAAGTTGATCTCTATAGATTTAGAGAAATTTGTGTTATGATACTCTTTATTTCCTATTGTAACTCGATTTGCACTAGTACTAGATTTAATAAAAAAATTTAAAGGCACCTCTTACATTTGGAATATATCCTGTGTCGCGGGGGACTTTACGAACATACATGAAACAGACATAAAGAACACCCAAACCCAGAACAACAATATGTGGATCACATATAGTGTCGTCTCATGTGAGGATCGTACCCACAACACTCAGCGTAGTAGTAAGCGTGGCGACCGCCTTAACCACTACGTCATACGCGCAGTCAACTTTTATGTATCATTATTAAGTGTTAGGTATGGAGTCCACAATCTCAGGTTTACAAATAGCGCATAGAGGGTATTCAGCGAAGGTGAGGTTACTTAGGTTTTAAAGCTTAACAATACTCTGCCGTTTATAATACTCGTAAACATTGCAAGCGTTAGCATTTCTTGCCTTTAGAACAAAGACGAACTGTTAGTGACATATGTTTCTTGATAAACATCGCCAATGGTACTCTTTATTGTCCAGAATTACTGAGTAGGATCACACTTGGAACGAATCAGTTAGTTTTTAGAATTCGTCTCCTCCTACACGTCCCTTTGCCCCAACTATAAGCGGAATTCATATCTTTTAAGTGCAGCTGAGAGTTATAATAATTTGGCATCAAAATTAAACTTGTATCTGTTTTATATAACCTCAACTACAATAAATTTTCGGTAAATATTCTTTTGGCAGCGACCGGTATAATTATTTAGCATGTTATCCGTTCGGTACTTCAAAAAGAAAAAGCGGAACCCTTATAGGATCTTTTTTGTGTTGACTTTGTTGTCCGTCTGTCTGTCAGGATAAACTGATAAACCGATCTCGGTAACGCGTAGAGGTATCTAGTTGAAATTAAAACCAATTCAGGTCTACAGTCCCTTGATGCTGTAAAAAAATCCAACTTCTAAATTAACGTAAAAAAAATCATGCCGCAAAAAACGTTTACTTAGACACTCTCAAGGGAATCAGAATTCATAGGGTATTTCCCGTTGACCTAGAAGTATGAAATTTACCAATACAGGAAAAATTTTGAAAACTATACACATCAACAGCCTATAATAGTCCACTGCTGGACATAGGCATCTTCTTAGAAAGGAGATTTTAGCCTACTATACAACGCTGGCCAGACGGGTTGGTATAGGGTCTGGGGTGCTGGCTAGAAAACCTCCTCGTGGTGCACCCTGGAAACGCTGGCGATGGTACTGTTTCCTCCTTGTCCTCTTGGAGGAGAGGATTATCGCCAGCGGCCAATATTCTAGCAGAAGAGGCAGCCGTTCATCGGCTCTCGGGCAAGGCCTGGTCCAGCAGGGTGGGCGTGTCTGCCGGTTGCCCTGCTGGCTCTTCGCTCTTCGGAGCATGGAGGAGGAAACCTCGGTAAAAAACCTGATGGCGGGGCCCTGTAGGGGCCACAGTTTTCTCCGCTGATAGCGGTGGAGAAAGGAGGACGGGCTCGGCGTGTACTCACACTACCACCGAGCAGGCAGGGGGACGTAGTCTCCCTGTCAACCGTCGGCATATCGTAATCCCGAGAAGAGCGCTGTGGTTAAGTCTCGCGGCTCTGATCGGGGACGAGGGTCTTGGCTTAACCGCCCGGACCGCGAGGAAGATAACCTCTCTAAAAAATTCCCCGAATCCCGTGTTCTGGTGCGTGGCCAGGGGATGCATGGCTGATGGGAAGTTCAGTCGCGAGCGCACTCCAAGCCGAGGTACCTGCGGACCCCTCGGTTGGGTTAAAAACTTACGCTTGCCCGGGTAATGGGGGATCTCTGCCCGGGTGGACCTTTAGTTCTCCCCCACTCGTGGGATTTATTATGGATAATGATAGGCAAAACATTCAGAAACCGATCGGAAAACAAACCAAAACGAAAAAGGCAAGTCAAACGGACACGGCAACGAGGAAGGAGAAGAGGAACAGTGGAGCGGATGGGTCGTCCACTGAGGGTGAGATGGTGTCAGGAACGCCTATCTCGATGGGGCTCCCAGAGGTCAGTCTGACTCTGGTCTCTGGGAGCCGAAGGGCATCGGATCGTTTGCGTTCCGGATCCGCCGTTTCATCGGATGGCGCGGACGCCATGGAAGCGGAGCGGAGCGACAGCCGGAAACGCGGACGCTCCAGGGAGGAGGGGACCGACACGTCCGGCGAAATGATGCCACCAAAGGTGGCAAGCAGCCGCCGAGGGAGGGCGCGTAAACCGGCCTCGGCCTCGGTCTCGACCCCGTCAGGCTCCGCGTTCTCAAACGCGGAGTCCTACAGGAGCGTACGAGTGGACGGCGAGGCCGTAGCGGAGGAGGAGATCGCGGATCTCCTGCTCAAGGTTCGGCAGCCGGTGGGGGGAAATGCCCCCCAGGCTCCCGTGTCCGTGCAGGAGAGGGCGAAAGCGGCGGTGGCCGTCATCGACAAGGTGGCCACCAAATCCGTAAACCTTAAGGGCTCGTTTGTGAGGGCCCTTAAGGACTCCTCCTCCGCTTTGTCGGAGGTCGTGGAGGGCCTAGCGGGCGACGTCTCTCGCCTGCAGGTGGCCAACGAGAGGCTGACGGAGCGGGTGAACGAGCTGAGTGCTCAGTTCGCCCGCTTCCAGGCGAACCTCCCCGAGCGGGAAGCCCCGTCCGCGTCCCAGCCTGCCCCTACCACCAACTCAGGGGCATTTGACTCCCAACTGCGAGAAATCCTCATCGCAGTTGGGAATATGCTGGACGGACGCCTGGCTGGCCTGGAGGCGAGACTGCCCCCTGCGCCGATTATGCGCCCCCCGCTCGCGTCGGCACAGCGGCCTAAGGCCACCGCTCCGACCGCGCTCCCCGTAGTGGGAGGCCGCGTCTCCTACGCGGCGGCGGCGTCTGCCCCGACTCCATCGGCTCCACAAAAGCCGACGAGGAGGGGGGCCAAGGCACCGGCCCAGGCGCCGGCCAAGGCACCGGCTAAGGCGCCGGCCAAGGCACATCCCCAGGCGCCGGCCAAGACGGGGCCTAAAACGGCGCCGAGGAGCGGAGTGGCATTCCCTCCGCTCCCCACTCCGACACCCCTGCCGGGCCCCTCCGCACCTGCCCCCTCCAACGAGGGTTGGCAGGAGGCGAGGGGCTCCAAGAAGTCCCGAAGGCGGGCCAGAAAGGCTGCCCAAAAAGCAGCCCAAGCCCAGCGTTCGCCACCGGTGACAACGGCCTCTGCAAAGAGGCCGCGGAAGCTGCAGCCGCCCAAAACCGCGGCTGTAGTTGTGACCGTCTTCAAGAAGGCCCGGGACAGCCTCGCCAACGAGTTTGGGACGGTGGGGGTCAGGATGCGCCTCGCCCAGACGGGAGCTCGAGTTCTCGAGTTCCCTGGGGCTGAAGGCGCAAAGACGGCGGACTCCTTCGCTGAGAAGCTGCGGGGAATATTTGCAGCCACAGATGGTGTCAGGGTCGCCAGGCCTACCAAGTGCGCGGAACTGCGCATCTCGGGCCTGGACGACTCAGTGACGGCCGAAGATGTCCGCGCTGTAATCCGGGAGAAGACGGGGTGCAGCGCGGACAACGTCAGGGTCGGCACCATCCGCCCCGGTCCAGGAGGGCTTGGCGCCGTGTGGGTCAGCTGTCCCGTAGCGTCGGCCAAAGTATTGGCCGACGCCGGCAGGCTGCTCATCGGTTTCGTGAGCGCCAGGATCACAGTCCTGGCGGCGAGACCGATGAGGTGTTTCAAATGCCTGGCCGCGGGACACACGCGCGTCAAGTGTGACAGTTGTTTTGACTGCGGCGGACTGTGTTTCCGCTGCGGTCAACCGGGGCATAAGGCGGCAGAATGCTCTGCCGCCCCTCACTGCCCAGCGTGTGCGGCGGGCAATAAGCCCGCCAATCACCAGATGGGGCAGAGAGGCTGCAAGCCTCCCCGCAGTTCTCGGCAGACGTCGGGGGTTAGCCAGTCGACCCAGGCTGCCTCCGATGTAGTTCGTGCGTCGACGTCGTCGCCCATGGAGGAGGTTGTAGAGACGATCCAGTAATGGATCAAGTCTCCAACCTCCTGGTCCAGACGAACCTGAACCACTGTGCCGCGGCGCAGGATCTCTTCCTGCAAACCATGGCACAGTGGTCGATAGGTGTTGCCGTAGTCGCGGAGCCCTATTCTGTCCCTCCCCGTCCAAACTGGATGGGTGACTGGGACGGCTCCGTGGCAGTCGTCGGTTCCACGACGGCTCATTCCCCGCCCTTGTCGCTAAGAGACAAGGGCACTGGATATGTTGCCGTCGAGTGGGGGGGGGATCACCATATATGGTGTCTATTTCTCCCCCAACCGGAGTTTGAACGACTTCGAGGTTTTCCTAACCAGCTTGGAGACCTCGATACGGCGACTAGCGTCTGGGCACGTCCTTGTGCTGGGGGACTTCAACGCAAAGTCCATTGCGTGGGGTTCCCCCAGGACGGACGCCAGGGGCGAGGCCGTAGAGGAGTGGGCGGCCTCGGTGGTCCTCTGTCTTCTAAACAGAGGCTCCACCAACACGTGCGTGCGACAGCAGGGGGGGTCGATAGTGGACCTCTCGTTCGCTACCCCTGCCCTCGCCGCACGAGTAAGGAACTGGCGTGTCCTGGAAGAGGTTGAGACGCTCTCGGATCACCTGTATATCCGATTTGAGCTCTCCCGGACCCAGGACTCCAGTAGGGGTCACGTGGCGCGGCGTTTATCCCGCTTTCCGCGGTGGGCTGTTGCCAGGCTGAACCGGGACCTACTAGAGGAGGCAGCCATAATTCACTCGTGGCTGTCTCCTCAGGCTCCGACCGAGGAGGTCGACGTGGCGGCTGGCCGCTTTCGCGATGCGATTACGCATGTATGCGATGCGGCCATGCCCCGCGTTCGAGGTCGTCGGCCTCCAAGGAAGGAGGTCTATTGGTGGTCCCAGGAGCTGGCGGACCTCCGTGCGGCCTGTACACGTGCCCGGAGGTCCTACACGCGCAGTCGGCGGCGTCACCGTAGAGACGGTGAGGAGGACCGGCTTCATGAGGGGTACCGACGGGCGCGGAAAACTCTGAAGCTGGCCATTAGCCGCGCCAAAGAAGAAAAAAGACAGGAGATGCTGGAGGGTCTCAATCGTGACCCCTGGGGTCGCCCTTACCGCGCGGTGCGACAAAAGCTCCGCGCGTCGGGCCCCCCCCTTACGGAGACTCTCCAGCCCAGCTTCCTGCGAGAAGTGGTTGAGGGCCTTTTCCCACAACGGGCGGAACACACTCCCCCGTCGATGGCCTCCCTGGCCGGAGACGACGGGGAGCACGGGGAGGACAATGTTCCGCCCGTCCGGGAATCGGAGGTAGGGGCGGCTGTTCTACGGATCCGTTCCAAGAACACCGCCCCTGGGCCAGACGGGGTACCGGCCCGAGTGCTGGCCCTGGCCCTCAACCACATGGCAGACCGCCTCGGGGAGGTGTTCGACGCTAGCTTGGCGTCGGGACGCTTCCCTGAGTGCTGGAAGAGCGGGAAGCTGGTCCTATTGAGGAAGCCGGGACGGCCTGCCGATTCGGTCGCTGCCTATAGGCCCATCGTGCTGCTGGACGAGGCGGGCAAATTGTTTGAGAGGGTTCTTTCTGCCCGCATCGTCCGGCACCTCTGCGAGGTGGGCCCCGATCTGTCGGACGCCCAATTTGGTTTTCGGGCGGGGCGTTCGACGGTCGACGCCGTGTTGCGCCTGAGGGCCGTGACCGAAGAGGCCGTGAGCTGTGGCGGCGTGCTGTTGGCGGTGTCATTGGACATCGCCAACGCATTCAATAGTCTGCCATTCAGCTGCATCAGGGAAGCACTCCACTATCATGGGGTGCCAAAGTACCTGAGGCGGCTGGTGGCAGACTATTTAGAGGAGCGTACCGTCGTGTACGAGGACCGAGAAGGTAATCTGAGGTGTCGGCCCATGTCGTGCGGTGTTCCACAGGGGTCTGTTCTTGGACCCCTCTTGTGGAACATAGGGTACGACTGGGCCCTTCGCGCCGATTTCCCCCCCGGGCTGGGTGTAATCTGTTACGCAGACGATACCCTCGTGACAGCCCGGGGGGCAAATTTCCAAGAGGCGGCGCGCCTGGCCACAGGGGGGAGTCTCCCTGGTGGTCGGGCGCATTGAGGCGCTGGGCTTACGGGTGGCCCTAGATAAGACGGAGGCCCTGTTATTCCATGGGCCCCGTCGTGGTCCACCCCCTGGCGCCTCCATCGTGGTCAACTCGGTCCTCGTACCGGTTCGGGCCCAGATGAAATATCTGGGCCTGATCCTCGACGGGAGGTGGCTCTTCGACGAGCACTTCCGACAGCTTGCTCCAAAGCTGGTCGGCGCTGCGTCTGCCCTAGGGCGACTCTTGCCCAATATGGGTGGACCCAGCGTCGCGACAAGACGGCTGTACACGGGGGTTGTCCGGTCAATGGCACTGTACGGTGCACCGGTGTGGGCGGCGGCTCTGACCGCCCAGAATAGGGTACGCCTCTGGCGCCCTCAGAGGGTAATGGCGGTCAGAGCCATACGCGGTTACCGCACCGTTTCGACGGAGGTGGCATGCGCATTGGCCGGAACTCCCCCGTGGGATTTGGAGGCGGAAGTGCTCGCCGAAGTTTATCGGCGAGTGGCTGACTTCCGGGCGGAGAGCGGATTTCGCCCTCCGCCCGAGGATGTGCGTGAGTGGCGCGAAGCCGCTCGCCGAGCCACGATGGCTCGTTGGTCGTTCCGGCTGGAGACTCCACGCGCTGGCTTCGCCGCCGTGGAGGCTCTCCAGCCGGTCATCGCCGAGTGGGCAGGGCGGCAGCACGGGACCCTTTCCTTCCGGCTGACGCAGGTGCTTTCCGGGCATGGTTGCTTCTTAAAGTACCTGCACACGGTCGCTAGGAGGGAACTGAGTCCCGCCTGCCACCACTGCGACTGCAGTGAGGACTCGGCCCAGCACACGCTGGCGGTCTGCCCCGCATGGGCGACGCAGCGCCGGGCCCTCACTGCAGTCATCGGAGTGGATCTCTCGCTACCGGCCGTAGTACGCTCCATGGCCGGTAGCGACAGTTGTTTTACCGCGGTCGCAACCTTCTGCGAGGTAGTAATCTCGCGGAAGGAGGCGGCGGAGAGGGCCCGGGAGGACGACCTCCACTCGGACCCGATCCGCCGCCGGCGAACCGGGCGGCGGAGGCCCGCCTACCACAGCCTCATGCCGCCCTGAGTGTGGCCGCGGGTGGACGGGGTGGGTTTCCCCTCCACCCGCATTAGTTTGGCCAGCCGCGAGGGGGCGGCGTCCGCGTGTGCCGGACGTCGCCTATAAAGAGAGGAAAAACATTGAGACGTAGCCCGCACCAGGAGCGGGCTGGCGCTAGGAGGGGTCCGGATGTCTTAACAACAGCTGTTCCCGGATCCCTCCTGTTACAGGCGCAGAGTGGCACACCGTGTGGTTTTAGTCGGTCCGAGTCCGACACACCACCCCGCCGCAAACCCCGGAGGGGTGACGGTCCGAGGGGATTTCCACACGTTAAAAAAAAAAAAAAAAAAAGGGTCTGTTTCAAGTTTTCCTTCTTTTTGCAGTGCCTTGCGTAGTTTGCTCCCTTAGTCGGCTCTTACGACACCCACGGGATGAATAGGGGTGGTGACATTCCGTATTCTTAATCCGTCACCACTTGGACAAAAAACTATACATTTGTATTTAAATTATAAAAAAATAGTCTTTATTAAATTGTCAATCATTGAGCTACAATTTCACTTATAAAACACAATAATATGAGTAATTGTAGGTTTTGGAAACTGAATTTCGGGAATAGCTAGGGAAAAACTGCAAAACTCGATTCCTGAATTAACTTTAAAATCGTTTGCCTTAGCTATCTAGCTTTTACCGGAAATTTGTACGTGACACAACTTTTTTGGCTAGAATTCAAACGAGTTTTTAAATTAAACTGAAACTCTCTGTCACTCCCATTGGTTGTGACATCACGACCTTGATTTAAGGTGAAATTGCGAAAATATATTTTTCCTCTTGTTATTCCCATGACGACGACAAGGAAATAGCCAAACGTAACATGGGATCCTATACAAATATTTGTAAAGGTTTTCGTTCATTTTTGTGATAGCTAGAGGACTTGCTATTTAAAATAAAAATAAATATGTAAATTCTAATCTTAACACAGTATAAATAAGAGTCACTTTATTCGTCTATCTATCGTCTAACTCCTCCTAAATTATACAACGGATTTTGATACGATTTCCATAATTAGTTAGATAATTTTTTTAGCAAGTTTTTAATTCAAGGAAGACTTTAATTTGTAATTAAGTCGTCGAAGAAAACATTATTTTCTGATTAACAGGTTCCAAATGGCACAAACGTCGAAAGATTCTGACCCCTACCTTCCACTTCAACATCTTGAAAGGCTTCACCATGGTGATGGAAGAACGGAGTCGAGCGCTTGTGGAAAAGTTGAAGGCCATGGACGGCAATGAAGTCAACTTGCTGCCCTACATTAGTGACTGCACTCTTTGTACTATCTGTGGTAAGGTATTAATTAAGTAGCTTTTTATTTAATGGCATATAAAATCTCAGCATATAATCAATTTACAGAGGTATTTAAAAACTCAAAAGACTCAGACGACCGAGACGAGCACCGAATTCTTGTGCACAGAACTGAGCATTTAATTGATTAAATGCTGAGTTCTGTTCTCAAGGATTCGGTGCTCGAAATAGCAGGAGTAGTATCGACATAAATTTGGCCATAAATATAATAACAGTAATATTTAATTTTTGAATAATTACAAGAATATACAAGAGTATTGTGCTAAGGTCTAACAGAACCCACCAAAAATTCAATTTAGCAAAGTAAACAGAGGTTTTATTTTTAAAATATAAATCATAACTTATTTTGATTTATAGTTAAACGTGCTCTTACATGTAATAAGGTGTCACGTTGTTGATCCTTTCTAAGGAGAGTCTTATGTCCAGCAGTGGACTATTAAGGGCTGTTGATGATGATGATGATGTTGTTGATCTTAAGGTTTAAGGAATCTCTTAGATAACGATAGTAATTGCACGTACAGTCAATTATGTACTGTATCACCATTGATGAAGTCTTCTTTTGATTTAATCTATTAGTTAACTCGTTAAGAAAGGTAACAGTTAAATATTATAAACTTGACGTGGTGTCAAGTATCTCATGATAAATTTGAAAATAAATTAGTGCACTAAAAAGAGTGGCCGTGACTTTGTTTGACCACAGGCATGTACCGTGGGAGAGCCATGCTTCTGCACGAATGGGCCGGTTTGACCGGAGTGATACCACGGCTCACAGAAACCGGTGTTAAGCAATTCTTTTGTTGCCTTTCACTGAGTGAGTGAGGAGCCCAAATCCAACCGCCCGCTGACTCGAGCGGGAGGGACTCCAAGGGCAGCAACGCCCTTGTGACTTTGGAGTTGCAGATGTCAAGGGGCGGCGGTAGTTGCTTACCCGTCTGCTCGTTTGCCCCCTTATATCCACCAAAAAAAAAAACTAATAGATTTTCTGTTCGTATATATTTATTTTGCTAAATATTTCACAAAAAGAGATTGTTGCCATTGTCTATGACTTTAGATTTATTACATGATTCGATTTCAGTTTTCTGTTTTATGAAATATATGGAAGTTTTGACTTTGATTTTGAAATTCTAGGTAACGCGTGAAATTTTATTGAATACCAATAGATTTAGTCTTGGCCGAGTATAGAAGCTAATATATTAGGATCTATTTTGAACTTAAAGCCAAGACTACCTCTTGTAAGTGTTTAAAATTACTAGATACGTTTTTGTAGTCAGATTTTAATGTTTTTACTAAAACTACAATACAAAGAGAGAAAAAAAGCTTTTGAAAAGTAGGGTAGGATAATATTTGGTGAATAAAAATAATTACTATTGGCACGCAACGTGTCTGGGAGTTTGATCAGCAGACGGCAATGAATAAATGCTGGACTTGTCTGATAATGAAAGCGTATCAGAATGATCATCAATATTAATGCTGATAGTACTGTTTATCAGGTTGCTAAAGGTGGAAAATTGTCAGATCAACTGATGACTGAAGTTTCAGTTTTCTGTTATATGCTATAAAAATCGCTGGCACCATTTCTTTTTGTAGCCTTATTATTTTTGCCCACAGAAACGGCAATGGGAACGCAATTGGATTTAGACAAATCATCTGCAAACGTAAAATATAAAAATGCTATTATTGAAATAGGATCACTGCTTTTAAGCCGCCTGACTAAAGTTTGGCTTCACAACGAATTCTTATTCAGAAAATTTCCTATTGGTAGGCAGTTTGAGAAGTGTTTGCATACAGTCCATTCTTTTGCTGACAATGTTATTATGGAGAGGAAGAAAACATGGAAAGCTGGGGAGCAAACTGTCATCGATGAAATAGGAATGAAGAAAAGATTGGCCATGTTGGATTTACTGTTGGAAGCTGAGAGCAAACAGGAAATTGATTTAGAAGGAATACGGGAAGAAGTCAATACATTTATGTTTGAGGTATTTAGGCTCCTAATCACTTATCGTAATCTTTCTGCCATTTTCTCTTCTTATTTTGGGAACGATGATATATGTAGTATCGCAAAAGATTTAGCTGATTTCTTTCTTGCACCCCAAATCTTCTTAGACTCGGAATGGAAGACACCAGGGTGATAAACCGGTATATCTATCTTGTGACTGATAATGAAATCATGACAGAGACATCAGCCGGCCTAATTACTAAACTTCTGCTTTGTTCCACTGATTGGGAAACATGTTTATTTGACTTTAGATCTCCTTGTTCAAAGGGTCACGATACAACGGCAATGGCTATAGTTTTTGGACTGATGCTCTTAGCTGACCATCAAGAAATTCAGGTGAGTATTTATAATGAATAAAATTCGGTTTTTCTTGATACCTTCTACATACATCTATCTGCTACTGTTCTAGTCCTGCTTATTATCTGTGTTTTGTCCAAGTTGAATAAGTACACACAGTTACAAGATGATAAGCGATTAACATCAGATCTTGAACACACGTCACAAACGTCTTTCAATCCTACTGACTATCTTCAGTTTCGGCATTTGCGGCACTTTTTTTTTTGTATGATATTGTTTAGATAAAGTAAATAATAATACCTACATAACTCAACTTATATTCAAAATTTGAACACAAAGAAAGTGGTAGAAATATTTGTAGTAATTCAAGTTTTCAAAACTTCAGCCTTGCTCGTGTTTGTTTTAGAACAACTTGTTGAAGAAACTTTTAAGTTGTACGTTGAAAGCATTTAAGTCTTTAAGGTCATTGTTCCTTAAGTTATTTACTTCATATTCCACTATGATGTATTTTTCTTACAAAATTTAATATATATTTTATATATTTATTTTATATTTAGGTACGAGTTTTTAAAATATTGAGACCCCTCTGTACCTCGGAGAGCTCGCTAGGCCCACGGTCCCGGTTGCCATACAAACATCTGTGGCATTTTTTTTTTCTTTTAATCTTTATTTCTTAATAAGGGGTTTCCACAAGGGTCAACCACTAGGATACGCCAACCCCGTCTTACCTTATCATACACAATTCAACATATCTAATTATTACTAAATGAAATAAAAGGAAATTATTGATGATTTTAGTGTCAGACTTCCACTAAAGCATACAACCGCGTTGCAATTGCCGTCTTTGGATTCGCCAAAATACTTTGAACAAGCCCAACATCCAAAATATTTGATTTAAATGGTCTAATCAATAATTCAATTTCATCCCTGTTCCTGACATAATCTGCACATCTTCAATTTTGCCACACATATTACAGTTAGGTGATGGTACCTTATGCATCAGAAAAGCAAACTTTACTGACAGATAGTGCCCCGAACAAAGTCTTAACGCTAGCTAACGCTAACATAATTTCTTTAAATGCATGGAGCACAGCTTGATAAATTGCAATGAGTTCGAGTGACATGATACAAATATTTCCACTAATTCTAAAGCAGCCTTTGATAAAGAAAGCCGCTCCACTACATAACTATACTTTGATCCATTTGTGAAAATTCTATAAAAATCGCTATACGATTACTGAAAGACAAAAAGACAAGGATTATAACATTGTTTTGAACATTTAATGCATTCTAAATCACTTTGAATACATTCATTCACATCATTTTTATACCTGATTCCCATATATCTAACTAAAGTTTACATTTGAAGAATTTTATGAGAGGACACTTCGAGTTGACATAATTCATTAAAAGTAGTAGCAAGTAGGCGTTTCACTCGCATACTCACTGTTAGATAATTTTATTTTAAGATGCCTTTCACTTAGAAAAGACAAGAGATAATTAAAAACCTTGGACCCAACTTGCATTTCATCTAAGGTTCCCGTAACAGATTCTACGCAAACATTATTGTATGCATTTTCTATATCTAGAAAACATGCTACCGTAGGATTATATTTAGTAAAACCGCTTTGAATATATGAAACAAACCTAGATAGTGCATCCAAGCATGATTGTGATTTTCTAAAGCCCACTGTATGTTGTGATAAAAGCTTGTTCTCCTCAATAAACTATTCCAGGCGTTGACTAAGCATTGAGTGAAATATTTTACACACACAGAGATAGGTCTTAATTTAATTTCATTTTTATTTACTCTTTTAGGTAAAGGAAATATTTGGATGTCTCGCCACTGATGCGGTATAATACTATATTGAAAATGGGTTAGGTTAAAGATTTTGAGCAAAAACAATTTTCCTACATCTGGTGGGTTAAATATCATCGAATGCGGTATGTAATCCTGGCAAGGAGCAGTATCCTTTCCTAAGGCAGTTATCGAGTTCTACACTTGTAAATTTAGACTCCAATACATGATTTTCAGAAATAAATCTTGGAATTGAGTTGATGCGTGATCTGGGGTCAGAGAAAGTAGCAATCCAATTTGTTTTCATTCCATCTCATACGACGCCGCATATCAGACACAGATAGGAGTTACAAAATTTTTGCCGACTATGGTATTTGGCTTTTTTAATTAACCTTCGAGACTCCAAAGTTTTTAATTCTAACTGATTTAAATGTTCAGGTGTTTTTACGAAAGTTTGATAAAGATAGTCTACCCTGTGCGACTCTTTGTGATAATTGAGGACTCCAATAACTTTTATGTTTAAATTTTCCTGAAGTTTTGAGGTAATTGGGTATTGCATGGCATGGTATGGTATGGTATGTGCTTTACAGCCGCATCATCAATTATTCATATGAAAAAATCGGATATCTGTTGAACATCTGTACATCTTTGATCATCAAAAGCATTAATTTTCTGAGAAATGGTTTTGCGGTATTCAATCCAGTTAGCCTTTCTATAGTTTCGCTTTTAAATAATAAGTACAGTGTTAGAAAGATTAGCCGACATTTTATTGACTAGATGGTTACTGCAGAGAGTCTCATTAAATACCTGCCAATTTAATTTCGTCAGATGATGCAAATGTTGTCTGTTGAAGTCCTCAAGGGTGATGGAACCATCATTTATACAAATATAGCCATTAGTTAAGTTTGTTTACCCCTAGTATTTATCCTAACCGACCAATTGGTCTGATAGCCGTTGAAGTCCCCTGCTATTAATGTTTTACGTGTAAAATTAGAAAAAATATCATTCCAATCTGAGTCTTGGGTTGGCACATTGGGAGGGCAGTATACAGATATGATACATTTCAAATCTTGTCAATTTATTAATTTAATGCATAAAATCTGTATTCCCAAATTATTACAACTAAGGGGAACTGCGTTTGATAAAATCGACCAATGAACTAATAAAGCCAACCAAACCCCAACCGTCCTGTCTATCTGCTCTGTATTATATCCACTAACATTTATGTCAATTTCAGTATTAAGCCACGTCTCGCTGACAATAGTGATATTCATATTTTCACGTAATAATATTTCAGAAAAGGATACAAGCTTAGGTCGCAGGCTCTGTGTGGGCACTGTTCTTGTATTAATTGACACCGTAAGCCTTTTTCTTTAATTTCTTGACAATCTACCAACTTAATAGCATCTTCTTTGGTTTGAAACTGAATTAACACCTTATATGAGCTTCTATATTTAATCCTCAAGATATCTTTAATATTATTTGTACGAAGCAAACTTAGCCATGGCAATCGGTTTAGGTAATAATTCTAATAAGGTAATACATATGTACTCGTACTTCATGTTTTGCAAGTTCCATGTTAGTGTCCTCTTTTCGATGTACCGCCCTTCGATTTGTTTTTCAACCGACTCACTGTTAATTAAGAGCTTTGGCCTCCTTCTAGTGATAAAGTCATCTTCACTATACTCATCTTCTCGTTTTTTTTCTCTTCTCTGTAGACCGCACTTCTCCATCTCGACAAATTTCGTTTCTATTTTCTTTAGTTCACTTTCACATCTCATCAACACCTCTGAGTTACTCAACTCTACTCCACTCGAATTTTCATTCATTTTAACAGAAAAATAAAGTGGGTACTCGTTAAAAAAATGCCACTGACTATTGCAATCCCGCGTACGATCTTCCCCTCGTCTAGCGACTTGCTGATCTGTAGCAATCGTTACGGGTAGTGTGAGCCCGTAAAAAAAATCCTTAGTCTTTCTATAGAACTTCGATATCGCCCAGTACTTGGGTTGCGGCGGTCTAATAGCAGTCGCTTCGCATAAAAAATCGAAGTGCAGCCGTCTGTAGTAGACTTAAAAACCTTTTTTTAATGTGTGGAAACCCCCTCGGGCTGTCACCCCACCGGAGTTTGACCGACTAAAACCACACGGTGCGCCACTCTGCGTCTGCAATAGGAGGGATCCGGGCACTGGTGTTATTAAGACATCCGGACCCCTCCTTGCGTGAAACTTAACTGTAACTTAAACTGACCTTTTTTCAACTAATCTTTATCAGTTTACTGTAGGAGCTGTTAAGTTAGAAAACATTGAACTAAGTTTTATAATTGCCTGAACACAGGACCGAATATATGAAGAATGTCAGAAAGTTCTGGGCGACTTCGACCATCAACCCACTATGTCGAACTTAGCTGATATGAAGTACCTGGAGGCTGTTATTAAGGAGACCCTGAGACTGTATCCAAGTGTGCCGTTTATTGCCAGGAAAGTTACCGAAGATTTCATGTTAGGTAAGAAGATAGTACAGAATATTTCTGAAGGCCAATTCTCGAAATAAAAGTTCGGTCACCATTTAGTTCCGATCAACACCCGATCTTGCAACTGTTAAAGAAGGTATTTTGGTAGTAAAGTATTAAATATCCAACCTTGACTGTACTGTGATCATACCGTATTGTAACCAAAAATTGAATCTGTAATCTGCTAGTCTTAGTAATACTTTACTTTTTTACTAAGCAAATACCTTTTATGACAGTTACGAGATCGAGATCCGTGTGGTGACGAATTAAGAATACAGAGTGTCACCACCCCTATTCATCCCGTGGGTGTCGTAAGAGCCGACTAAGTGAACAAACTACGCAGGACAACAGCACTGCAAAGAGAAGGAAAACTTGACACAAACCCTATACCAACCCGTCTGGCCAGCGTGGTATAGTAGGCCAAAACCTCCTTTCTAAGGAGAGGCCTATGTCCAGCAGTGGACTATTAAAGGCTGTTGATGTGATGATGTGATGATGCGTGACGAGATCGAGAGTTGATCGGAACTAAATTGTGGCTGAACTATGGAATTGGCCTACAGATCAAAGTGTGGCTATCCAGAAAAAAATAAAGACTACCTACTAGATTTCACTGTTTTTTTTAGAATGGTACTATATAATGTCAATAATGTAATGCTAGAATCGAAAACCTATTAATCCCTACTAATCACTGTATCATACCTTGTTAATTATTTTAACCGATTTCAATAAGATCAGAATGTATTTTTTTGTTTGTTTCCTCAGAACTCCGAATTTATGAAACTATTTGGAAAATATCTTGTTTTATTTGGGCGTTAGTCCCATACGAAATCTAAGAAAAATACTACCCCTAAGTGTATCAAATTAAGGAAAGAGGACAGTTTCTTAGTATTAATCATTATGTAGGCGCATTGAATTTCATCATCATCATCAACAGCCTTTAATAGTCCACTGCTGGACATAGCCCTCTCTGTAGAAAGGCGGTTTTGGCCTACTATACCACGCTGGCCAAACGGATTGGTACAATGTTTGGGAGATGAATGAATGCGAATTTGGTTTCGTGAATAAATGTTTCTTACGATCACACCCTAACTACTCAACTGGTCATAAAAAAAAAAAAAACTTTCTCCCTTTTTACTATTGTCCCTTCTTCCAGACGACCTACCAGTGAAGAAAGGCGCCGAAGTTGCTGTGCATATCTACGATCTGCACCGTAGACCAGACTTATACAAAAACCCCGAGGAATTCAGACCAGACCGATTCCTGAACGGTGAAGTCATACATCCGTACGCCTTTGTACCTTTCAGTGCTGGACCCAGGAATTGTATAGGTAAGTAGTGAATTGAGAATAATTCGATGATGGCAAATCTTTCCCATTCAGGTGGCTCATGCATGGTCATGTCTAGATTTATTAAGAACTTACTTGCATTTAAGAACTCAGAAGCACTCCTCTAAAATAACCGTAATGTAACCGTGGGTTAGTTATGCTTCGACACAAATGGGCCGCCTGGCAGACAGATTCCCTAGCATTACAGAAAACTGGTGTTTAGTAATTTTTTCCTTGTTTTTCACCGACTGAGTGAGGTTATTGGAGCCTTAACCCCCTGATATCGAAGGAGAAGGGGTCTAAAAGGTTGGGAATTTTTCTTTTTAGTCACAGGAGTCACTTATGGTGGTAGTCATTACTATCCGCTGACCCGTCTGCTCTTTTGCCTCCGTATACCTTAAAAAATTCGTTGCTTCGGGTTAAGTAACTCCTATGTATAAAAATTAAAACACTCATTGTGCTCATTTTTGATGTGTAATATCCTTACTCCCGCTTTTTTTGTAATCTGTGGGCGTGATTTTGTGAAACGAGACATGAGTGTGTAACAGGAAGCCGAGGAAGAGTGTAAGATTTGAATTGACCAATGAGCGATGACCTTTAGATGGTCGGTGAGCTGTTCGGTCGCCAACCATCTGAAGGTCAGGTCGGTGTTTGTTATTAAAGCCTATCATCATCATCATCATCATCACCTTTAATAGTCCACTGCTTGGACATGGCCTCTCTTTAAAAATGAGGTTTAGGCCTACCACGCTGACTAGACGGGTTGGTTTGTTTCAAGTTTTTCTTCTATTTGCAGTGCTGTTGTCCTGAGCAGTGTTCTTCCTTAGTCGGTTCTTACGAATAGGAGTGGTGATTTTCTGTATTCTTAATCCGTCAGTATACGGAATTCCATCAGACACATTGATTTTTGGGAAAATTGGCATGTTTATGTATAAAAGCAAATCAATGAAAGTACATCGCTTTCGATGTCCGTGTGGTGACGCATCAAGAATACCACCACACAGTGTCACCTCACCTATTCATCTCGTGGGTGTTGTAAGAGCCGACTAAGGGAGCAAACTACGCACATGACAACAGCACTGCAGAAAGAAGGAAAACTTGACACAAACCCTATACCAACCCGTCTGGCCACCGTGGTATAGTAGGCCAAAACCTCCTTTCTAAGGAGAGGCCTATGTCCAGCAGTGGACTATTAAAGGCTGTTGATGATGCTGATGACATCGCTTCGATATTTAATTTTCAACAACATTTGTTATTAATTTGATTTAATTAAAGATAATAAACAGTTGATACAGATGTAGATGTAATACTGATAGAAAGGTTTATATATTTTTATCCTAAATGTAATCAATTGTAGGCAAACACTACATGCAACATGTTTTTTTGTAATCGGCATCTGTTTTATATATTTATTTAAATTCTGAATAATAGTTGACAACACGAATAGTCGATATTTGTTACTTGATTTCATTATTTAATATGAAAATTGTGAATTAGGTATTGTTAAATTTGTGTAAAAGTATACATTACTTTTTTAGTGTTTTGGATTAGATATAGAAGTGCAGAAGTGAGATTATAAGAATATAATCTCACTCACTCACTAACACAGAGCAGAAGCTCTAAGCACGCCTTTTTTTATTAAATTCAGTGAGTTCACACAATTCAGTTCAGTTCTATCATATTTTCATTCCTCCTCCTAACAAACCTTATTTCTAAGAAGAGGCCTAGGTCCAGCAGTGGATAGTAAAGGCTGTTGATGATGATGACATTTTCATTTATAATCATTTTATGCTAAAAACCGCATTCTCTTTTACCACGGAACACAATATGCACTTATTAGTTTTTCACTGAACTTCAGCTTCGTTACACAATTTTGGGTTCAATTTGCTTTGAAGATAGATTGCATTCACAAGCACATTTTACTATGTTTGATCTTTAATTTAAGTAAAATAAAATTTATTCAAGTTTAAATAAAAAACGCTCGCTGTGTACTTTTGAGGCTGTTGCCACACAATTGAAATGAGTACGTAATTATATGAGATATTATAAATGCATATATATTGAAAGCTCTACATGGCTCTCTATAAAAAATTTTTTTTTTAATATTCAAAAGGTACGATATTTATGAAATAAAATTTACTTTTTTTGTTTTAAAACTTCATCAATCATCATCATCATCAACAGCCTGTAATAGTCCACTGCTGGACATAGGCCTCTCCTTAGAAAGGAGGTTTTGGCCTACTATACCACGCTGGCCAGACGGGTTGGTATAGGGTTTGTGTCAAGTTTTCCTTCTTTTTGCAGTGCTGGTGTCCTGCGTTGTTTTGCGCCCTTAGTCGGCTCTTACGACACCCACGGGATGAATTGGGGTAGTGACATTCCGTATTCTTAATCCGTCACTACACGGACTGACGGGAAACGTACCTTAATTGAAACTAAACTTTATAGTACTAATCCTAATACAAATTTTACAACAAAAACTATACATGAAATGTGAAAGTAAATAATTATATTTGTTTTAATGCCTAAGTCATATCACGGGTGGCGGTGATCACTCACCATCAGGGGACCTGTCTGATCATTTATTCACTGTGCCATAAAAAAAATGAAAAAGATTCAGAAGACGATAGACATCCTTCTCGTACATTCTTCTTAACAGTATAATGTATTTACTAATAGTTATATTATATGCCTCAGGTCAACGGTTCGCGATGTTAGAGATGAAGTGTGTCCTGATCGGGATCTGCCGCAACTTCAGGTTGTTCCCTCACGTGAAAGGAGCCAAGCCATTGCTGTTGGCGGACATTTTACTAAGACCTGCAGAGCCCCTGTTCGTGAAGTTTGTTCAGCGTTAGTTTTGAATGACTTCACGGATGGCGCAGTGGTGTTCAACACAATACAGGATAATATTCCTAGTGCGGGAGATGTCTTTTTCAGAAAGAAAGAAAAAATATGAGTTTATTTTTTTTTATCTTTCTGAAACAAAATGAAATTATTAGTGGTAATTAAATAAAACGGTCAGTCGTAGATCGAACCAGGTATAGACTTGCTGATGATGAGATGACAAGGTCAATTTATCTTTAATTGACAGAAAGGACGATAGTGACGTTTCGGTAAATTTACCTTAAAGTGAGAGTCTGAGAGTGATAGTCAATATGTATTATATAATATATAAAAATATATTGTAAAAATGGTCAGATGTAAGATATGGAATTTTATGTTTGCATTTTGTGCTACTAGGAATATTAAGTGATAATAATAAAAATATTAAGCAGGTAGGTTTAGAAGATCTTTTCTAGAAGAAAGATTAAATGAAATTTTGGAGTGTCAATTACGATTAGTTGTTTCATTTGCCCTCGAGTGATGGTATACCCTATATCCCTCCTCGATAAATAAGAGATCCCACACTAAAAGAATTTGCAGAGAGAGGAAAAAGGAAACCCTCTATTTGCATTGCGCGTTTTATTTAATAACTTGAGAAGAATATTTTTAGAGAATTTGATAAGGATTAAAGTAAGACCAGTCTTGTTTCTCTACAAAATATAGTATTCGAGTTATTCAATTTTTAACAAAAAAATAGCTAGCTTTAGTTGCTAGTTTTTTCTGTTTATATAAGAAAAAAAAAATACCTTGACCTAAACTTTTAAATGAAATATTTTTCTTATAGCATAAGGAACTTCGTACCTGTGGGGTGTCCAACCACGCAGCCTTTTTTTAAAAAGATTTTTTTTTTATAACATCAGCTGTACCGTGCCACGTTTCCCTGTGGCATATGTGGTGGCATTGATGAGAAATGACATGAAAACATTTTTATTTAAGGTAAATAAGCATCTCAGTCACGGACTAGTAATGAATATCCGTATGAATACGTTATATCTGTCTATGAGAAATTTACTTTAATAAAATACCATTTTAAAGCCACCCCAGATCACTGAATAATAGCTTTTTTGTTAAGCCACGTTTCTTCATAAAGCAAACTGTTTTTAATCGCATATATTTTTCGGTCTTTAAACTTGCTTTCATGTTTAACGTTTTATAATTATGTAGAGGTAAGAAGTAAAAGTTTTTGTATTTCTCTTAATAAATTTAGAAGGTATATAATGATTTGTAATGTGAAGATTATCCAACAATAATGGTAATAATTGCTTTTCACATTTCACACACGACCGTCTGACCCCAAACGAGGCAGAGCCTGTGCTATGGTAACCAGGCTGCTGATAAACATACTTATATATTTCTAAACACATACATTTGTTTGGATAAATTACATACAGACACACTACAAACGATCGCTTAATAAGAACAAGGTTATCTAAAATAACAAAAAAAAACCAGTTAAATTATTATTACCACTGGTCGCCCAGTGGTCGAAATTCGATCATAATTCATTTAATTTTTAAGTGAACGGAACTCCCCTCGGTTACCACCCACCAGTGGGTGATTATGTCGGACTCGAACCGATCAAAAACCGCACGCCGTCTCCAGGTACTAGTAGTCGGGGAACCAGGTATACCATAGAAAGGAAAGCCCTAGTACCTCGACGTACCTCGGGCCATCTACGTCTTAGGAATGACCCCGGTGGGAACCCAGATGTTCCCTTCCTGCCCCGAAGGGCGTGCGCGCTCCGTAGTGCGTCGCACCACCACCCACACCCATCCCAGTGACAGATGGATCCACCTGTCACCCTCAGGCCTGCGCTTATGGAGGACGGAGACGAAGACTATACCTCTATAATCTAAAGTTTCATCATATATTATATTTTTTTACAAAATTAATATACAGTTTGACCATAGATTTTAACCATGAACTAAAAAGTAGGTATTTAATGTACATGTGTGTATGTTGTGTGTCATTCAAGCAGTAATATATGTAACTAGCTGACCCGCGCAACTTCGTCTGCGTCTCTCAATAGTATCTATTAAATTTTCTCCGTTTTTGAAACATTCTTCATTGGTGATCCGCTCCTATTGGTCTTAGCGTGATGATATATAGCCTATAGCCTTCCTCGATAAATGGGCTATCTAAGACTCAAAGAATTTTTCAAATCGGACCAGTAGTTCCTGAGATTAGCGCGTTCAAACAAACAAAGAAACTCTTCAGCTTTATAATATTAGTATAGATGTATATTTTAATTAGTTTAATGTATTTCTAATACATTATAAATATAAAAAAATAGCTTTATGCACTTTTTCTCCATATAAACTTTAACTGTGTCAAATTTCACGTTCATCATCATCATTTTCTTAAAAAGGGGTTGAAGGTGTCTATGGGCGGCGGTACTCGCTTGCCATCAGGTAACCCGTCTGCTTGTCTGCCTTCAGCTGAAATAAAATGAAATCATATATAAAAGCTTCTTTGTTAATCTACTTGTGTAGACAAAATTCAAGTAATTCGTAACACTAACTAAATACACTAAATAAATTTGTCTGAGGATGTATTTTTAACAAACAGGGACTTAAAGCAAACCGTGAACTAAAACTAAGACTAAAGAATAATAATAAGATAAAGAAGAATAACTTCTTATAAAAACATCTTAAGGCATGGATAAACGTTTTTCATGTTTTATTTTTGTTGACTTTTAGCATCTGTTTATTTCTTTCTCTTTTCTCTTTTTTCTCTTTCTTTCTGTAAGTAAAATCTTAGGTCGTATGTAATTGCACCAGGGACTTCCTTTCTAGGGTATACCTGGTTCCCCGGCTGTTAGTACCCGAGACGGCGTGCGGTTTTAGTCGGTTCGTGTCCGACATGCCACCGACAGGTGGTATCCGAGGGGATTTCCGCACGGAAAAAAAAAAAAAAAAGGTGGTATATAATTGAACAATAAAACAAGTATCATACTTTATCATCACATGAAATAAGTACAGACGTGGAACTGATAAAGAAAAATGCACCTTAAACTGGTTTTTAGGAATAGGTATCGTGCAAGTAACTGTTATTTGCACGATACCTATGCCTAAAAACCAATTTAAATATTTGTTGTCTGTTTCTTCCGGGTAATCTTCAAAACAGCAGGACCGATTTTGAAAATATTTTACTACCAAGTAGCTGTCTATATAAGGAGTAGCTTAGGCTATTTTTTTCTCAGAAAAACCCTATAAAATTTTGCCTGGTCCGGGAAAACTCACTAAGGCAGCGTTTTTCAAATTTCAAGCGAACTGGGTCGCGGGCACTAGCTAGTTTATAATATAAAGTACGGAAGTTAATTGTCGTTTTATCAGTATCTTAAAATACAATAGATATGTTTAGTTTGATTATTTTTGCAATGAAATGAAGGACTGCGAAGTTATAGAAGAGAATGGAAGAAGGAGTCATTGCGCCGACCCCAAATAGATTTGAGAAAAGTGTAAGAAGAAGATGACCTGTTGTATCTTAAGAGTTATTTTCTTCTCTACCAAAGTATACGAGTACAGAAAACGGCAGCTTAAGATACTCCTGTGTTAGTAAAATGGCAGTGCAATTTTGTACGTTGAGTTTTCAGGAGTTTCCGATTTAAATATTTAACAACCGATTTACTTACAATGAAAACTTTTAAGTATCTGCACGAAATAGAAATTTCTCATGAGTACTTTTAAGTGTCACTTTTAGAAGTTTTAAGAAACATTTGGAACGTGTGCCATTTTATATTTCATTTAAACATAAATAAAACTGCTTATAAAACTCTCATAAATATCGTTCTCAACACACAACTGTGTGCACCTTTTTTTTTTTTTTTTTTTTTCCGTGCGGAAATCCCCTCGGATACCACCTGTCCGGACTAAAACCGCATGCCGTCTCGGGTACTAATAGCTGGGGAACCAGGTATATCCTAGAAAGGAGTCCCTGGTGCCCCGGGTACCTCGGGTCATCTACAGACGAGTAGACGACCCCCCCGTGTGGGAATCCCATGTTCCCTGTGCTCCCTGGAAGCGAGCGCGCTTCGCAACGCGCTCGCCGCCACCCCGGCCTGCTTCTGCTAGGGTGACAGATAGCCTCACCTGTCACCCCCAGGACTGCGCTTATGGAGGACGGAGGTCGTTCTGCGAAATGTGTGCGCCTGGCCTTAATATCACTAGTTAGAATATTTCAATAGTCACCGATGAGATTATCCCCATAAAGTGAAATTAGAACAGGATACCTTAAGTACATTATGGAGTTTAATAACTTTTATTTATAAAATTGTATACCAATTATGTTTTAGAAATTTCTTAGTGTTTTTTTTTATATTTATTAAAAATTTTAGATCTTTACAAAGTTACTGAATAATAAATCAAATGATACTGTGTATTCCTTTATCGACAGGCCTGTTTTTATGTTAGAGGGGGCAGACGAGCAGACGGGTCACCTAATGGAAAGTGACTATCGCCGCCAATGAACGTCTGCAACTCAGGAGTCACAAACGCGTTGCCGGCCTTTTTGTTTTGCCAATATTTGAGTCTAACAAATAAAATCAATTTTGTAATAAAACTTGTAGTAGCTGAGCAGTATCCAGGTCTCCAATAAAGTGGCAAATTGATGATAGTGACTTAAACTGTACTTAAGATACAATTTTATATTGAAAATTGTACTCATTTATTCTTCATTCCTCATTCAATCTGTCTTCCTCTGGAACGCTCTTTCGCAGGAAAGGAGAATGGCAAAAAGTCGTCATTTGTTCAAGGCGACAGTAAGAACTCTCCTGGCACACAAAGAAGCTACATCATCATTGGCTACATCCTCCTCCTCCTCGCTTCGGTTGCCTCAATGCTGAGGGTCGTGACCGCTTCCTCGCAGTAAAAGTTTGCTGTGGATCATTCGACGCCACCCGCCCCAATCCGCCGCCGAATGTAAAGCATCGTGGACTGTGTGTGGCTACATAATACCTAATAAATTATATGAA